ACACTTGATCCTATTTGCCTGTGCCCTATGTTATTACTTACTGGGATGGGATACCTACCCACATGTTTCTATATGGAAATACCTGATGGATGATTGGGTGGCTTTAGATGTGCGAGGCATTAGAAAATATCTGCCTTGTAATCATTTTTGAAGTTTTTCTGCATCCCACAGATCTCAGAAACACGTCGGACACATGGATGTCCACAGTGGGGTTGGGCCTAATGTTAATATCAAAAGCGGTGCATGAGTTAGGAGCTGAACTCTCATCTGCCTTGCATTCCTTGCTCAGAATTCCTTTCATCTCCACTTTGGCTGTCAGCAGTGAATTGACAGTGAAAGGAGAGCTTGGGTTATTTTCACATTCTCTTCTAATTAATATATCCCTCAAACCTAGATTGAGTTCACACACAACCCAATTTGTTTACTATAATGTCTATTGTAATCATGTACCCTATTCATACACATACAATTTTCTTGATCATGTAAACTATTGTGCATAATATAGGACGTTATTTGTCTTAAAGTCAAATCTGGCTTTAAGACAAATGGAGCAGGATTCAAAATGATCTTGACAGATTAGAGAGATGGGCCGAAACTAACAAAATGAAGTTCAACAGGGACAAATGCAAGATACTCCACTTAGGCAGAAAAAACGAAATGCAAAGATACAGAATGGGGGACGATGCCTGGCTCAAGAGCAGTACGTGTGAAAAAGATCTTGGAGTCCTCGTGGACAACAAGTTAAACATGAGCCAACAATGTGATGTGGCGGCAAAAAAAGCCAATGGGATTTTGGCCTGCATCAATAGGAGCATAGTGCCTAGATCTAGGGAAGTCATGCTCCCCATGCTCTATTCCGCTTTGGTTAGACCACACCTGGAATATTGTGTCCAATTCTGGGCACCACAATTCAAGAGAGATATTGACAAGCTGGAATGTGTCCAGAGGAGGTGACTAAAACGATCAAGGGTCTGGAGAACAAGCCCTATGAGGAGCGGCTTAAGGAGCTGGGCATGTTTAGCCTGAAGAAGAGAAGGCTGAGAGGAGATATGATAGCCATGTATAAATATGTGAGAGGAAGCCACAGGGAGGAGGGAGCAAGCTTGTTTTCTGCTTCCCTGGAGACTAGGACGCAGGAACAATGGCTTCAAACTACAAGAAAGGATATTCCATCTGAACATGAGGAAGAACTTCCTGACTGTTCAGCAGTGGAACTCTCTGCCCCGGAGTGTGGTGGAGGCTCCTTCTTTGGAAGCTTTTAAACAGAGGCTGGATGGCCATCTGTCAGGGGGGATTTGAATGCAATATTCCTGCTTCTTGGCAGAATGGGGTTGGACTGGATGGCCCATGAGGTCTCTTCCAACTCTTTGATTCTATGATTCTATGACTTATGCTGATCATATCATACAGTTTTCTTGGTGATATTTCTTTAGAGCAGAGGTTCCCAAACTGTAGTCCATGGACCGCAAGAACTAAAATATGGTCCACAACCTCACTGTTACTACACCGTTACAATGAGAGCAACTGGTCTGGCAAAACCCTCTTTATAATGCCGAGGCTTATTAAATATGGTTTTTTATCGGCAAGCAGATGGCAACTACTGGATGGCATATGCTATGTATGTCAAGCTAAGGTGCAACTTGACAGAAGCAAATGCTAGATACACCAGATACAGCTCTGTAAAATCATGGACTCTGGAGATGTCAGGTTACAAGGAAAACTCAGTTTACTAAGCACAGAGCAAAAGCACATCCATCTTCAGCGAGGGACACACAGGAACACATCAGGAAAACTGAAAGTCAAAACAGTTCTTTTGCAGCTGCTTAGCTCTTCTGCTCCAAGTGGTTAACTCCCTAATTTTTCTCAGCAGCAGAGAGCTTATCTTAAGGTCACTCAATCACAGCCTCAACATAAACATTTCAGCATAGCATTACACTCTAAGTGGCATCCATCTTGGTAATACAAAAATTACATTTAAAACACACAATTATATCTCAATAAATCCTGACAATGCATCAAAGCTAGAGCTGATGTGGTCTATCCAATGCAGTTTTCTGAATCAGCACCCCAAATAACCAAATTGAATCTAAAGTTGACCAAAAACTAATTCTTAACCCTTTTGGTTCTAACGTTAGAGAGTGGTCCCTGGTCAAAAAAAAGTTTGGGAACCACTGCTTTAGAGGATGACTATTATTTTCTTCCTCTGAGGCTGAGGGTTTGTGGAATGCCCCAAGTTAACCCATGGCTAAGCTGGAATTCAAACCCCGGTGTCCCTTAGCCCAGCACTCAAACCACTACACTGGCTCTTGTATAATATATGACCTGTATAATATAGCATACATGATTACAACAGACATCATATTAAAGAAACAGAACTGCATTTGGTTTTAAAACTGAAAATTTGTTATCTTTGCCTGCTGTTTTTGCTTTCCTTCTTTCCCATGTCTACATTGGATTGTAGCATCGTGAGAGCAAGGAGCCGTCTTTTGCCCCGTGCCATGTATACTAATTATATGTGGCTTTATAACTGATCATAGCAGTCCTTTGTAACAAAGGGAGGAGGTATGCGTTCCTTCTTATGAGGGAATCTCCACCCTTCCTGTTGAAAGCCCTGTAAATTATTCAGGGGAAAATAACTTGAATTATTTTTGGAGAGCCTGTGGGTAGACATGGTCGGATTTTCGTTCAATGGCAGCTGCTTTAGTTTGACTACATTGACTTAGGAGGAGAGTGAGTGGAAATGATTTGTGAAGGGTTGGGAGAATAATATTGAGCCCAAATGCCTCCCCCTCTGGAAAGGATCCCGTGCGTACATCTCGGGTCATAAACTGGACATTCTTGTATTGCTGCTGCTCCCTTTGACATCGTGTGTCTTCTGATATAATAAAACTACAGAACAAACGAAAGCGCTACCAATACCAACAACCTTTTCCCCATTAAAAGAATGAAAGGGAAGGCCTGGGCAGGCGTTCCAAGTCCTAAATCCAACCCTAGTGTTTTAGTTGAGCATTCTCAGATTGAGATCCTGTGTACATATCAGCCAAGTCGCTTCATGGACATTCCCTGTATCAATAGGAAGACAAATCTTCTATATTAATAGAGACAATAGTTAGTTTTGGTCAAAGGATATCTAGCTGCCTGCACATCTTCTCTTTTGTCAGTTTTATACTAATTTATGGAATGCTTTTGATACGAAATAAATAAATAAAATAAATAGTAAGACTTGAGCTGAGATTTGGGAGATCTGTGTTCAAGTTCATATTATTCTCAGATCGTGGGCTGGTCACTCTTAATCTCCCAGGCTGAACAATTGTGCAAGCTTTTTGTAAGGATAAGATAGGGAGGAAGAGAGCCACACACAGCATTAGAAAAAAAAGAAGGATAGAAATGTATACGATACATATGTTTTGGAGAGGCACGTAATGTTATAATAATAATAATAATAATAATAATAATAATAATACTTTATTTTTATTATTATTAAAACTAAACGACTCCGGCCCTGTTTACCTCTCCGAACGTATTCTCCCCTATGAACCATCAAGATTATTAAGATCGTCTGGAGAGGCCCTGCTTTCGGTCCCACCGGCCTCGCAAGCGCGTCTGGTGGGGACGAGGGACAGGGCCTTCTCAGTGGTGGTCCCGCGACTCTGGAACTCTCTCCCACTGGAGATCAGAACCGCCCCTTCTATCCTGACATTCAGGAAACAGGTGAAGATGTGGTTATGGAAACAGGCATTCGATGAGTGAGCCAACACCCTGAGATATGGATGGAGGATGATGAACAATGTTTTTAGTAGGACGACTGACCATTGTAGTTATTGAATGTAATTGCTGTTTTAATGTTTTATTGTAATATGAATTATGATTTTTTTATTGACTGTATGTGATTTTATGGTTGGAAACCGGTCTGAGTCCCTCAAGAGAGGTGAGAAGAGGTGAGGTGAGGTTACAAAACTTTTAAATAAATAAATAAATAAATAATAAATATAACTCACACATAGAGAATAACACACAAGGATTTAAAAACCTATGGCCGGGCCAGATGTAATAGTTAAAACTTTAAAAATAAATGCTGGACGTGAACAGAGGATGTATCTAGTAGGAGGGTTTTAAACGAAAAGTAGAGAGCAGTGCAACAGGTAATTAAAGTGCTTCTCAGGATATTTTGCAGGGAATTGTTTCCTTTATTCAGGGAAAGCACAGCGGAACAGCCACGTTTTCAGGCTCCTCCTAAAGATTGCCAATGTGGGGGCTTGTCTGATATCCTTGGAGAGTGAGTTCCAGTTGGGGGGGCACCATAGAGAAGGCCCTCTCCCTCGTCCCCACCAATCGTGCCTGTGAAGGAGGTGGGAGCGAGAGTAGGGCCTCTCCAGATTATTGAAGAGATTGAATGGGTTCATATACAGAAATGCGGTCATGCATTAGGGAGCCAAAGTGGTTTGGGCATTGGCCTGTGACTCTGGAGACCGAGGTTTCAATCCCAGCTTGGTCATGGAAACTCATTGAGTGATCTTGAGCAAGCCAGCCTCTCAGCCTCAGGGAAGGCAAACCTCTTCCGAACAAATCTTGCTAAGAAAACCCAGTGTTAGGCTTGCCATAGGTTGGAAATGACTTGAAGGCACACAACAACAATGTAAAGTTAGCCACAAGTGAGGCTGTTGTGCAGGAAATAATGAAACCAGTTTGGCATTGGGATAGGAAGTGTGGCACAACCAAGGGATGCTGGGAGCAAATAGACCTCAAAGAGAGAGGTCCATATAGACCTCAAAATAGAGATTGTGGTTTGGTGGTTTGTGGGAAATATCTGAAGCAGTGAAGAGAAGGATCGGAATTAGACAGTCAGCTATTGAGGACTTAGTCTCTTACTTCTTGCTTAGCTTTTGTTTTTGCCTGTATTTGCTCACATTATTCTGCTGCATCACTTGTTTTGATTGAAGAAGATATAATCTCTCTTCTGATCCCACATATACCTGACATTTGCCCTCCTTTGGTGGCAGGTAATATTCTTGGACCATGGAACCCCAAGGGCCTCCCAGAGGCACCCCCGTCCACGTTTCCAAGGATGCCCCAAGCAAGCCTTCCATCCCTCAGAAAAACGCCTACGCTCGGCTTGTGCAGAAGCACCACAGCGGACGGTTCCATTCTTACTTGAACCACATTGCTCAGAAGCTGCAGCTGGAAGAAGGCGCTCCTAATGAATCAGGTTTGGATGTTGAGCCATCCTTGAAAAGGGGCCTGGTGAGAGAGGCCCTGCTGAAAAATGGCATGAAAGCGCCAGGTGGCTTTCCGGTGAGAGCGATGCAGCCAGGGCAGCTGGAGGTGGGACGATCGGAACGCCTGAATGATAGCCGAGAGGAAGGTTTTGCCAGGAAGCAGCAGCAGTCCCACTATCAAAGGGATCCTGATGCTGGCAAAGGAGGCCACGGTAAGGATGTAGTGGTGGAAGAAGAGGATTACGTTTCTCCTAACAGCCATGGAGATACAGTGGCCATCTTCAGAGTGAAGCAGGTGGTGGGCAGCCAAAGGCTGTTGACCAGACCAGCTGTCTCGCAGCAGCGGACTTCCAGTTCTGGAGAAAGGGACCATGAGGAGTTGTGGAGCAAAGACAGTAGCAATGACCCTGCAGCCATCTTGGGCAGAGCAGAAGGCTGTGTGTCTGCTGGGCAGTTTGGCATGGAGTTGCCCACCGCGAATGCTAGGAAGACTGGCTTCTTGTCGCCCAGCCAACCTCATGGTGAGAGCTTGACTGTCTTTCATGTGGTTGCAGTGGTTTAAGGCATTAGGAGCCTATAGTTTATGAATTACTTGGGTGGGATTATAGTGAAATGAATGCCATGTTATTGATAGTTGTTCGAGGACCGGATACTTTTACTTATCTAATAATAATAACGCTACTGCTGCTGAAGACTTGGGGCTCGTTTCAAAAGGAGAAGCGAGAGAGATTTCTAATATTTAGAGATGCTACCTCCCAAACCTCATGCGTTCCAGATATGTTGAACTATAATTCCCATAATACCACAACCAAATATGTTTCTGTGGAATTATGGAAGTAGTAATTCACAATATCAAGAGATTAATCACATGTAGAAGCCAGGTTTAGAAACTATATGTAAAGGAGCGTAAAATTTGTGAGAAAGCCGGGCAAGGATCAATATCAGCTTAAGAGTTGGTTTATAAAGGGACTATTAATTACAGAAGGATTTATTTATTTGATAGCGTAGCGTTTAATGTCCCTGGTTTGATTTTACTTCTTATGCAGTCTGTTTGGCTTAGGAGTAAAGGTAACAGAGGCAAGGCTTGTAAAAAGAACAGTAACAAGTTTTATTAGAATATAACCGATTCAATGTTTCTTCACTAGAAGCACAAACTTAGTTGGTTACATTAGTAAGGTTTCATGAATAACTTTAGGTACAGACTTTAAGAGGTTTCTGTAAGCAGATGTATCGTTCCTGGACAACTGACTTAATAAAACAAATAGCTAAAAGGCTTATTTAACAGAATTGGCTGCCAGCCAAACCTTGATTCTTAACCCAGAATCAATAACTCCCTGCAGCTTTATCACTACCAGATCCTTTCCTGTAACCCTTTTGGTCACAAATTAGTTCCCTGAATCTCCACCCAGAGATTTCAGTCTTCTCTGTAACTCTAATGGTCACAGACTCTTCCCTGTTTCTCCTACTAGAGAAATCATTCCTTTCGGCAACTCTAACGGTCACAGACTCTTCCCTGTTTCTCCCATTAGAGAAATCAGTCCTTTCTGTAACTCTAACAGTCACAGACTCTTCCCTGTTTCTCCCATTAGAGAAATCAGGCTTTTCTGCAACTCTAACGGTCACAGACTCTTCCCTGTTTCTCCCACTAGAGAAATCAGTCCTTTCTGCAACTCTAACGGTCACAGACTCTTCCCTGTTTCTCCCACTAGAGAAATCAGTCCTTTCTGCAACTCTTAATGGTCACAGACTCTTCCCTGTTTCTCCCACTAGAGAAATCAGTCCTTTCTGTAACTCTAATGGTCACAGACTCTTCCCTGTTTCTCCCACTAGAGAAATCAGTCCTTTCTGTAACTCTAACGGTCACAGACTCTTCCCTGTTTCTCCCACTAGAGAAATCAGTCCTTTCTGTAACTCTAACGGTCACAGACTCTTCCCTGTTTCTCCTACTAGAGAAACCAGTCCTTTCTGCAACTCTAACAGTCACAGACTTCCCTGTTTCTCCCACTAGAGAAGTCAGTCCTTTCTGCAACTCTAATGGTCACAGACTCTTCCCTGTTTCTCCCACTAGAGAAATCAGTCCTTTCTGTAACTCTAATGGTCACAGACTCTTCCCTGTTTCTCCCACTAGAGAAATCAGTCCTTTCTGTAACTCTAACGGTCACAGACTCTTCCCTGTTTCTCCCACTAGAGAAATCAGTCCTTTCTGCAACTCTAACGGTCACAGACTCTTCCCTGTTTCTCCTACTAGAGAAATGAGTCCTTTCTGTAACTCTAACGGTCACAGACTGTCTATTTCAAACAGCCATGCAGCTAGGTGACAGTTGGCTCCACCCCCGTTGCTATGGCAACTCAGCTCAAGCCAAACCAGCCACCATCTCTAACAAAATATAATCCTACATACTTACCATTTATTAACTACTGTTTAAACAACACATAACCATAAGAATAAAAATACACATTGTCACACTATATTTTGAAGCAAATGTTTAAGTGACCTCTGTTCCTATTAATATTTGTTTTTATATTCGTTATTTTATTACATTGGTATTTCATGATTTATTTAATTTATTCAATAGATTTATTTCCTGCCTTTGTCTCAATATTGGACCAAAATCAGCAATTTCACCAATTTCCCTTTTTGCTTTTGATTCTGATCCGCCACGCTTGGCTTCCCCGTTTGCAAGATCCTCATTGTGAACTTGCCTAAACTCATCCTTATTATAGAGCACGTGAGATCTCCCATTTTAAAACAAGACACTCCCTCCTCTTACATCATCTGCTTAAAATAAAGTGGGTAATTTGGCCCAGAAAGTGCCATTTCTCTGGGGAAACATGAAGCAGTGATATAGAAGGAATGCCACTTGCTAAGTCCTTTCAGTCTCCTGTGTTACCTGACATTGTTGATAATATTTAAGGCTAGCCTGGGTCCTATTTTCTGTATATAGCATGGTATTTTTGACATTGAACTAAATCAGAAAGTCCTGACTTTGAATGTTGCTTCTGCTGTGGTTGAAGGGACTGAGCCCATTATGGTTTTCTGTGCATCATGAGGTACCCGTTGGCTTTACTATTGTACGCAGCTACAGATTTGTAATGTGAGTTAGTCTGGATTGAGATTTTATATTTGGTAATGTAGTTTGGATCTTGTCAAGAGTGAGTTTCGCTGAGACTAGGAGATGAGCAGGTGACATAAAAGTGCAGTTTGATTCTTGTTAAAGTGCTTTGGAAATTGGCAGCCTTTACAAATCTGCAAATCAGTCAGAACGAACACTCAAAATAAATTTCTCCTTTATTTATAGTTGAGATCTGGGATAGCGGGGCCTGCTGTCTTAGTTTGGATTAAGCGTAAACGCTTATATTTAGCAATTTTGTTTGGACCTTGTCAAGGACAAGCAATTAATACTCATATTTACAGGTGAGTTACACTGAGATTAGGTGATGAGCGCATGACATTAGGCCAGTTTTGACAGAATGCTTTTTACTGGGGATGCAAAAACTTCAGGAAAGCCTTCCTTCCAACTAGAGTTTTCAGACGGAAAACTAAAGAGGGTTCCTGTACCTAGTGTTTATGTAGAACAGACAATTTCAGCAGGTGTTACTTGTTATGCAACCCAATAATACTCCACACCTGCTTAACTTCTCTCTTGTTGTTGTTGTTGTTGTTGTTGTTGTATGCTTTCAAGTTGTTTCTGACTTATGGTGACCCTAAGACAGTGTTTCTCAACCTGGGGGTCAGGACACCAGGGGGATGGCAGCAAGGGGGTTTCAGAGGAGTTGCCATAGACCACCAGAAAACATATATTTCTGATGGTCTTAGGAACCCATTTGGCAGAGAAGGCTGAAGATCTCTCCACCTGTCCTTCTCTTCCTTTTTGGAAATAGACGATGAATCCTCCCACCAAAAGCCCCCCATTGCTTTGATTGGCCAGCCAGCCGGCCTCTCAGCAAAGGGGAGTCCAGTTTCTGTTTCATGCGTGCTTGGCGCATGGCGGTGTGGCATGCATGTGTGGGCGAGGGAGAGCGTGTGAGGCTGGAGGGACGCTTCCGCTAATGAGTCCCATCATTGCATGGGGATTGTCTGTGGGAGGTTTGGCCCAATTCTATCATTGATGGGGTTCAAGGGGCTCTTTGATTGTAGGTGAACTGCAACTCCCAAATGTCAAGGTCTGTTTTCCCCCAAACTCCTACAGTGTTCACATTTGGGCATATTTAGTATATGTGCGAAGTTTGGTCTAGATCTATCATGGTCTGACTCCAGAGTGCTCTCTGGATGCAGGTGAACTACAACTCCAAAACTCAAGGTCAATGTCCACCAAACCCTTCCAGTATTTTCTTTTGGTCATGGGAGCTCTGTGTGCCAAGTTTGGTTCGATTCCATCGTTGATGGAGTTCAGAATACTCTTTGATTGTAGGTGGACTATAAATCCCAGCAACTAAATCTGCCAGATGTCAAAATCAATCCCTCCCAACCCCACCAGTAATCAAATTTGGGCGTATTGGGTATTTGTGCTAAATTTGGTCCAGTGAATGAAAATACACTCTGCATATTAGATATTTAAATAATTCATAACAGTAGCAAAATTACAGTTATGAAGTAGCAACAAAAATAATTTTATGTTTGGGGGTCACCACAACATGAGGAAATGTGTTAAGGGGTCATGCCATTAGGAAGGTTGAGAAACACTGTCTTAGAGATTAACTGAAAAACCAAAGTTGGTAGTATAAGATCTTGTAGACTTAAGTCTCCTTCCTCAGATATAGTATGTTAAAGCTTATATTAGCAACTGCCTTCTCTCAGTTTGTCATTTAGATTCTACAAGATCTGTTTCCATATTGATATTTCAGACTCACACAGCTATGTCTTTGAATTCTAAAGCCATTAAAGGTGCAGGGTCTCTATATAAAGCTTTCATGTTGGCATTATTTCCTTTATTTCCAAGATTTCATAGGTGAAATCAGTGAGGCTCCTCACCACTGGTTTCTAACCATTAAGCACCATTACCTTCTTGGTCCACCACTCTTTGCTGTAGATCCAGTTCCTTTGAGTAGAACCTGGATAACCTGTTTGAACAACAACATCTAGATCTGTGGTTCTCAACCTGTGGGTCCCCAGATGTTTTGGCCTTCAACTCCCAGAAACCCTAACAGCTGGTAAACTGACTGAGCTTTCTGGGAGTTGTAGGCTAAAACATCTGGGGACCCACAGGTTGAGAACCACTAGACTCTTTCAGCTAGACTGGCTGCTTCTAAAGACTCTTTTCTGCTTACTATATTGATATGTTTCTCAAGTGCCACATGTTCTATACAGGTTTCTGGTTGTAACATTATCCTTTATGTTTATTTCAAATTAGCTTTCACTTTTATGCCCAGTCCCTTGAGGGATTTCACATTTTATGGAAGGCACCTGGGAAGGTTTAACAAGTTCTCATAAAAACAGTCTGATTGTCCTTATAAGAGAGGATAAGAACTTAAGTTGACTTAGCAATAGCTATTTACCTGGATCCTCACCTGTGTGCAGGGG